CATTCCGTCGTTAAGGGCTCATGGTGAAGATAAATTCGGCCGACACAGTGGTTTAATAAGCTAATAATCTGCTGAGAGACTCTGTTTTAACTTGCTATGCAAACTTGTCCATTTGCCCGAGGATAAGCTGCCAATGTGATTACCGTTCCAATCATTAAGTCCAAATCAGGAAACATCTCTTCTGAAAGTAATTACAGACCAATTGCATTAACCAATATTATATCAAAAGTGATAGAAGTGTCATGATTGATTTTACAGGTGATATATTTTCTCTAGAGATAATCAATTTGCTTTCAGAGAGGCTCGCTCGAGACACTTTAATTTTGTATTAAAACAGGAGGCAATTGATTTTTTTTTTTTAAATAAAATTGGCATCAGCCCACTATGTATACCTTCTTCATAGCAATCTGGCGTATGATTTTACCGTTAATTCACCGGAAACTTAAAAAATATAGAAAATGTTCTCTTATCAAGTTGTTTACATCTTCAAAAACGTAGTGTGCGGTAGGGGAAATGGTGTAAACAAAGTGGATTTTAAATGTAAATTTCTCTCGTGTGAATGTTTGTAAGAATGGTATTTTCTGTAGGACTTCGTCTCTCTTCAATAAACATACTGTACATAAAGCAGTTTAACTAATGTTTTGTCTATATATTTATTTTATTGGTAGAAGTTAATATTTAGATTTTTTTTAATGATTTATTGTCTAATGTTCCGACTTTGTATTTTTATCATATATATTTATGTTCATTACGTAATTGGTGTTTACGTCTTTGGGATGTTTGAATAAAATACAAATGCAAAATACTCTGTTGATGACAAGAACCCTACGAAAGCTGGTGTTAAATGCATCAATAATCGTATAAGGTAGTCCCTTAGTGCATGGAGGTATAAAATACCTCCATGCTTAGTGTACGTATGAATAATTTAAATTATGGTGATGTGACACTTATTGCTCCGTTATCTGGTGGGCATCAAAGATATGTGAATAATGTGAGAAGTTATGGTATATTTGTTATCACATAAAATCAGATACCGATAGCAGATATTCTTGTGGAATGTTTTCTACCTTAGAAAGAGTTTGGAGGTGGCGGCGATCTCAATCTGCTTTAATTCTGAGGAGTTGGGAGTTGTTGATAAAATGTATTATGTATTAACTGAAGTAACATTTAAATAAAAAAAATTAATAATAATCAACATTACATTCTTACACCTTTCTTATATGTTTGAATTAGATATATATATATATATATATATATATATATAAATATATATACATATATAAATATATACACATATGTATATACACATATATATATACACAAATATATACACATACATATATATACATATATATATACACATATATATACACATATATATACACATATACATATATACACATATACACATATACATATATACATATATATATACAATTTCCTGATGATACATAATTAATGTCGAAATATTGAATCCCAACACGATAGCGTGTATTTCAATACTTGGAGTATGTATTATACTTTCTTGTCAGAGAATGTATTCTTAAATTCAAATTAAACAGTGTTGCAAGATATTTTCTATCTATTTAAAATAGTGTATCTTTTTAAATACCGTACGGTAGGTTTATTTGAGGTGCCTTTTGAACAAATACACTCTACGCACTTCACAACCACACACATACGTACACATTCAATATTGCAATATGCAATAACAACCCACCACCTGAAATACCTCCAAAATTAAAAATCGTATAATTAGAAGTGAGATGGATAAAATAAATAAAACAGAAACGAATCACACAAGGACAGTGGGCGGAATGCGAGTATAAGATAGCATATTAATATATTTTTGTTAAATTTGTCAATTTTTAGTCGGCTGGGAATTGTTTTTGATCACTGTTTCCATATCAGAAAATTAGCAACAAAATTCAGTAGAATCGGGAGTGTGTGTTTGAAAACCTAGAGCGGGATCATTACATAGCTACCTATTTTCATTAATGCAGATGTCATTTCTGAGAGCAGCTTAGCTCAGTGGGCTGATCTGGTGCCACGGAGTGTGTGCTGAACCGTGGAGATCTCTAGGTCTCCGGTTTAATTCCCATCGCTGCCTCTACTTGTGTTTCATCTGGAGGGCTGAAATACAAGTTACATAGCGTACCGTCTTTCGGATGAAACGATTAAGCCGTTAGTGCCGAGTGCATTTAGGCCCATGTGCACGTTAAAGAACGCAGTACACTCTTCGGAAAAGAGTAGGGGATTGTCTCCCGGTGTACTGCCCAATCACCGCCAGAACGACCCCACTGGAAATAAGTCGTCTACACTTTCATGGGCTATCCTTGGTGTTCCCATCGAATAAAAATCCAATCTAATCCGTAAACATCATCCTCATTAAAATCATCAATCACTATCTTTACCATCATAAGCAGCATCATCATTATAAGTAACACCATCATTATTATAGGCATTTACTGTACTATACAACGCGTTCCATGGGAGAATGTACGCAAAATGACCATTGGTCAACGAAAATATTTACAATGGGACATAATGATCAAGTGTAAGCTTTACCGGTGTTTGACCGTATTCAAATACTGCTACCCAATGGTGTTCAAAATTAATAAGATTTACTATAAGCGTTTGAAGGCTTTTGGCTACTTGCACAATTTCTGTGTTGGCAATCCACTGGATTCGTACAAGTGAAGGCCAACTCAGAGACAGCGTCGTACGACGCAGCTCGACGCGATTTGTTGTCTTTTTATTTTTATCTTTAGCTTATGACCCATCTTATCGTTCCTCCACCGGATTTACTCTTACAAGGTCAATTGTCAGTCAATAGCTAAGTGTGTTCTGACCCCCAAAGGGGCAGTAGACACAAAAACCAAACGTATTTCAATGAAGGACTTGATTCAACTACCTACCCGCTGACATATATTTCAAAGAGCCTACTAAATATGCCTATTGTAAACCAAGCCTATTACTTATTCCAACATTTTGCCATCATCGTAATAACGCCAATTATAAAACTAGGCATATAAATTTACTCGATTCTTCTTTTATGGCTATGGAGACAAATGAATAGTGGTATCATGAGCCTCGTCTATATTCATAAATGGCCGTAGTTAACTTTCTGTTACTATTAAGTTGAATCAGTCACAACAATTTGCATAACTTCTGGTTTCGTAAACTATATATAACCCTGAGCTACCCTGGTTATTCAAATATTGAAGAAGAACGTTTCCCGTTGGTAATGAGTTTTCTGAAATGTTCACAGCTGCAACAAATAAGGCCGTAAGTCATACTTTCTTTGATGGGTTTTATGATGTAAAAAATAGACCAAATGAATCATTAGCAATGAATCAATATTGACTATCAAAAATAAAAAAAGAGAATTTAGTTAACTATGGAGTAATGAAACGGTTTCATTATTCCATCGAGCAACCGTGCACCAACTACGGATGAACTGTGCGGTTGAGGGCTCACTACATAGAATGTAATTATATGTTCCGGACTACTGTGATTGTTCCTCCCGATACAGTAGCGAACTTATTGGTCAAGAGAAAGTTTCGCCTCAGTAGGGTGTCCCTTGAATAGAAGTACAGTAACCTCATTTAAGTAATAATGCGCTATATAAGCCAAAATTATTATTATTATTATTATTATTATTATTATTATTATTATTATTATTATTATTATTATTAAATGACACTAAACAGGAAAGTGAAATTATCCCCTTAATAGGTTTTGTTTTTTAACATTCTGTCGCACAAAATCGAGTCCAATAATTTTAATTACCATAAAATAGAAATGTCCCAAATAAGGGGTAAAATTCAGATGCAAGCACAAATATTCATTAAATTACAGATACATAGGCCAAGCCCGTAGCCAGGGGGTTCAAAAGAACTACCTTTTTCAAGAAATGCGCTTTTAAATATTATTCAGAATTACCATTTGCATGGAAGTTCTTGGAATTAACTCAAAATAGTTGAAATTTGGCATTTTTATTGCCATTTTCGAACACCCGACGTGTTATCTCTTACACAAGCTATGGTGGTGCTCAGGTGGGTATGGACTCAAAGTACATACCTTTGTGGAGAATTAGAACCCCCTTTAAAAATCATCCATACAGGCCTATAGACTGCTATGGTATAGGCCTAAGCAACAGGTCGGTAGTACATGCAGATAGGTTCACATTTGTTCTTCTCTCTGGGCCAAGTTTCAATACTGTATTACCTTGATAGACCAGGGGTCATAATCATCATATCATGCGTTATACACTGTCACACTCACAGCTGATAATGGAATTTGATATAGAGGGACCAGGGAGCAATTGCGTATCTAGGAAGGTGCAGGGGGACCATGGCCCTGCCCCTGCCAAAAATCACAGTAAAATAGTTAAAAATTATCTAAAATCGCTTTATTTTCTGAATTAGCACCCCTCAACTGACCACCGAGGCCCCCACTTCACCTTTGCGCACCACCCCCACCTCCCACATCAGCACTCCCATTTCTAGACTTCTAGATACGCCACTGCCAGAGAGTGACTTTCACATATGGAGGGTCTATATCCAAGGTAGGGCTATATCCAAGGTAGGGCTGGGGCTGAGGTAAACAAAATTATGATTATTGAAAATCTTGATAGCCAGAAAAGGCACTCTCTGACTTTATTTCCATTTTTCTTTATTTTAAAAAAATTTAGGGGTGGGGAGCCTGGGCCACTCTGCCCTCACCCGAAATCAGCCAATGACTCGCACTATCAATGTTTTCTCTGAACGCTCCATGCCCTGACAACATGATTTTCCTATTTATGGGCTTGAGGACCTCAAATCACACCCATGAAATTATACTTTTATTTGCCACATAAAACAACTGACAGTGTGGGCAATAATTAGGCCTAACATTAATCATTAGAATTTGTCTCCTAAAAGATCATGATATAGGCAGGGCAGTAATATAAATTATGAGGTATTTACAACATGTAAAAACACAAATATAGGCATCACTTTTCGAGAGTCGCATGAATTATTTTTTTTAATGTTTGTAAAGAATTGTCTGTACAGTACATGTGTGACTATGACCAAATGTATTTAATGAATAGATTTTTAAATAAATTTCTTTTGTACCAATTAAGAGTACAAATACCTAAGGGAAAATAAAGATTTTATATGAAATTTATGTAATTACTAGTACAATTAATTTAATAACTGTATCATTAATTAGAATGGTACAAAGGATTAAATTTAATTCACTAGCTTTTTAATTCATTATTTAAATATTGAGTAAATTCTTTCTAGTGTATGGAAATATACAACTATGCTAATAATCTCACCTTTCCTTTTCAGTAGCTTTCATGCTGCTTGAAATGACTCGGGCTTAGGCCTGGCCTAGCCCTTAGCCTTAGTTGTTTTAGACCTAGCTAATTTAAGAAACTGAATGGGTCTGATTGATATTCAACATTCTTTCATTTCATCTAGGACCACTTTCATGAGCGTATTATGTTTAATAGTTTGCGTTCCGACATGTGTAATTGGAGTTGAAATGTATTGATGCTCGGAGAAATAAATATTTAAAAAAAACAATTAATTTATCAAAAAATCAATTCAGAAAATACATTAAGATGTAATTGTGTATTATTACTTATTGTGAAACTACATAGTTTTGTGTTCATCAGTAAAACAGCAAAAAAGAACATAAAGTGAATTTCATGATTTTTCCCCAGGTATTTTTTATTCTGTACATTCCAAATTAGACTGAGTGAAACAGCTGTCTACTTCTTGGCAGCTTGCTGCGCCTTCAACACCCGATGGACGATCTTCTGTTCTTCCAGCAAGAAAGCACGCACAATTCTGAAAAGAAAAAAAAAACATCCATTAAGTACATGAAATGGTAAGGTTCGATATCACATTAAGGAGATGAATTTGCACTAATAATACTTGTTGATTTAATGTATTAGCATAGTTTCTCGATTAAGTCGAATAGTACAAATTGCTTCCTTTAAAGGTAAAGTAAAACAGTTTAGTAATTTTATCAACCAAAAAAATTCTAAAATCTACAGTTCTTCTTATTGAATCCGTACAACACTAAATTTTGCCCAGTTGATTTAATGTATTAGTTCACTTTCTCGATTAAGTCGAATAGTAGGCCTACAAATTGCTTCCTTTAAAGGTAAAGTAAAACAGTTTAGTAATTTCATGAACCAAAAAAATTTACAAATCTTTAATACTGAATCCGTACTACACTGAATTTTGCCTAGACACAGCCGGACAGTCTACTTGGTGGAAGAATAGGTTAAAAACAGGGCTGTGATGGGAACGCTTCTACAGTACCTTGACAGTGATGAACATGTATTTACTACAGTACTATCTATAATCAGTATCTATTTAAAATCACTAACACAACACAACAGAATGCAAGAGTAACATATGGTATAATACCTCCATGATTGGTAGTGATAATCAAAAAAATAATCACATTATCAGACTTAAAATTCAATAATGTATTACCTCAGAACCCATCATGAGTTATTATCCATACCAAACAAACATCAAAAAACAAGAAAATACAAAACGTAATGCACGGTAAGTCCATGGTAGATCTCGGTTGCATGGTACTGAGCTCCATTGATACATGTTGCTTATGTAATGGTACTAATTGGTAGTAAACAATTACATATAGTGCAGTGTATGGTACTATCAGTGTATGATACCATACAGTATTGGTACAGTGAAGTAGTAATAGTAAAGTAGTATCTTGGTACATTGAATGGTACCAAACTGGTACAGTACCATATTGGTACAAGTACCATACTGGCACAATGCATAGAGCCATGATGGTCAGTGCATGATACCAATGTGGTACAATACATGATATGTTGGTACAGTGCTTTTGGAACCATGGTGGTCAGTGCATGATACTATTCAGTGTCCTCCCCTATTGTGTGTGAATCGTCACGTCTTTCTTGTCTACTTATTCATTTGGTAGGCTAACCACTTAGTAGTAGGACTAGCACTGGGCAGGCCAGGCCTAGCTATAGTTGAAAAAACATCGGCCACGTAGGCTGCCTAGATTGACTAACATTTATCTGAACTTACTTGTCTTAATTGTAAAGTAGTATTATCATATTAAAAACGTTTATCAAAAAAACAACCAAATTCATCATAGAGCATTGCCTAATTATTTAAACACAAACACGATCACGTTGTGGCTTCGCTGTCAAGAAGTACATGTGGTGGGGAAATCCAGATAGATTGTTCTGGGCATGCGCATGGACATGCATGGGCAGTTTTGAAGAAAACAGTTTGTGTGAATCAAGCAAACGATCGTGTTTTGGAATGAAAGTGACATTTCTCAAGGTAAAGATAACACAAAATGAACGCAAAACAATGAAGCATGAACTTGGGCTGATAAACCAACATTGTAAGACAGCATTGTTTTGTGTTTAAAATATTTTCACACTCACTCTTCTTCAAATTAGGATACATGGACATCAATGCTTATTTTGAATTATTTTATTGACGATATTTCAAAGCGTCACGGAAGACACATCAAGCGTCACGGCCAGCTTGGAAGTGTCACGTAGCACCGTGACGAAGTCCTAAGATGTTTATATTCGTCCTAATAAAAAAATATTCAAATAGTGACCGGAAATGATACATTCTGACCTTTGACCTATTGTAGGGTCATTCCATATCAAATCAACCAGATTAAAAAGAAATTCCTGTATGACCGTCTCAGATTTTGATGAAACTCCATAAAAATGATCCACTGTATGAAAAACCAAGGTCACCCTTCGTCTATATGAGTGGGTATATATACCTCATATTACAGATATATTATCTATGTGTAGTTGTCTCTAGCCACATGCAAGCGCAGGCTGATCAAATCAATTAAAATTGAATGGCATATATTCAAATTTGGGACCAGATCTATAAAAGTGAAAAACGCCAATGTTTTTCACAAACAACAGATTATCTTGTGGAAAGTTAAAATCTTTTCTTAAATTTACCCCAGTTAATCAAATACATTGGATCTACCTATAAACCAAAATTTTAGCTTTGGTACTTAGCTCATGGCTAGATACTATGTTGAAAACTACACATATTTCAACGTGATAGGAAAACACAAACACTTTTAAGAGTTGGGTCATTCCATGCCAAACAAATGCATTACACCATGGGTCATAGATTTTTAAAAAGTTTTTTGCCACACTGACTCAGTGATATATATATATCTATGTGAACTGAAAACCTGAAATTTTGAGATTCGCCAATTCGTTGATTTTCCTGTAGCGGCAGTTTGAAGTTAAGGGGGCGTGGCCCAAAATAAATATGAATATAATACGAATACTAGGAAGTTTCTATTCATGAATCAAATATGAATATATTCATGAAACCGTATAGAAAGTTTCCAGAAAATAATTTACCATATATTGGCCACAAAAAATGATGTATGTGATGTCCCAATTGCTAACTAATACTAAAACTGAGTGACTTAATAATAAGGGCTGTCACCCACAATACAAATTTGATGAGGTTATTATTACCCAGGTTGAAGTTGCACATTAAGAATTAAACCAGAAATAACTTTAGATAAATAAATTTGAATTTCATAGAAAATTTAATGGGTCTATGACATAGATTTAGAAAATTAAAGCAAAATATTTATATAAAAGTAGGGTATTATTGTTGATGTGTTAAAAACATGTTTTTAAGGATTTGGAATCAGCAGTAAAAGGTGTCCTACACCACAACAGGTTAAAGGGGTTGTATGATGGTATTAGCATACGAAAATCAAAGTTTATTTGAGGCACAACCCCTTTACGTCGAATTGCCGCTACGGGAAAACGAAAAGGGAATTTGAGTCTCAAAACTTCAGGTTTTTCTATTCACAAGGCAAAAAATTAAAAATCTATGACCTCCTGTAATGTTGTAATGCATTTGTTGAGAGGCCACACCCCCTTAACCTCAAACTGCTGCTACAGGAAAACGAATTAATTGGTGAGTCTCAAAATTTCAGGTTTTTCAGTTCACATAGATATCTATATCACTGAGACAGTGTCCAAAAAAAAAAAATTTTTAAATCTATGAACCTGGTGTAATGCATTTGTTGAGTTGGCATAGAATGACTCGAGATTTCCGATTATGTTATTGTGTAGTTTTCAACACAGTATCTAACCATGAAGGAGCTGAGTACCAAAGCTGAAATTTGGTTTATAGGTAGATCTAATATATCTGCTTAAAGTAGGGTATTATTGTTGATGTGTTAAAAACATGTTTTTAAGGAATTGGAATCAGCAGTAAAAGGTGTCCTACACCACAACAGGTTAAAGGGGTTGTATGATGGTATTAGCATACGAAAATCAAAGTTTATTTGAGGCACACCCCCTTTACGTCGAATTGCCGTCTGTAATGTTGTAATGCATTTGTTGAGAGGCCACGCCCCCTTAACCTCAAACTGCTGCTACAGGAAAACGAATGAATTGGCGAGTCTCAAAATTTCAGGTTTTTCAGTTCACATAGATATCTATATCACTGAGACAGTGTCCAAAAAAAAAAATTTAAAAATCTATGACCCTGGTGTAATGCATTTGTTGAATTGGCATAGAATGACTCGATCAAATCTTAAAAACTTTCGTGATTTCCGATTATGTTATTGTGTAGGTTTCAACACAGTATCTAACCATGAAGGAGCTGAGTACCAAAACTGAAATTTGGTTTATAGATAGATCTAATATATCTGCTTAAAGTAGGGTATTATTTTTGATGTGTTAAAAACATGTTTTTAAGGATTTGAAATCAGCAGTAAAAGGTGTCCTACACCACAACAGGTTAAAGGGGTTGTATGATAGTATTAGCATACGAAAATCAAAGTTTATTTGAGGCACACCCCCTTTAAGTCGAATTGCCGCTATGGGAAAACGAAAAGGGAATTTGAATCTCAAAACTTCAGGTTTTTCTATTCACAAGGCAAAAAATTAAAAATCTATGACCTCCTGTAAATGTTGTAATGCATTTGTTGAGAGGCCACACACCCTTAACCTCAAACTGCTGCTACAGGAAAACGAATGAATTGGCGAGTCTCAAAATTTCAGGTTTTTCAGTTCACATAGATATTTATATCACTGAGACAGTGTCAAAAAAAAAATTTAAAAATCTATGACCCTGGTGTAATGCATTTGTTGAGTTGGCATATTGGTGATTTCCGATTATGTTATTGTGTAGTTTTCAACACAGTATCTAACCATGAAGGAGCTGAGTACCAAAGCTGAAATTTGGTTTATAGGTAGATCTAATATATCTGCGTAACTGGGGTAAATTTAAGAAAAGATTTTAAATGTCCACATGACGATCCGTTGTTGAGAAACATAGGTGTTTTTCACTTTTATAGATCTGGTCCCAAATTTGAATATATACCATTCAATTTTGATTGATTTGATCAGCCTGCGCTTGCATGTGGCTAGAGACAACTACACTTAGATAATATATCTGTAATATGAGGGGTATATAACCACTCAAATGGACGCAGGGTGACAATCGAAAATCACAAAAAAATTTTCATCGTTAAACAAAGTGGCTATAACAAAGTGCAGATAACTTCAAAAGGGAAGAGATAACTGTTATTCTAAGGCCATATCAATCTCGAGTTATAAGCTTCCAAAGTTGAAGTAAATTGCGTTTGCACATCTTGAAGAACCACGCCCCTGGCCCTTTTCAAGTCAATATCTCGAAAACTAAATATCCTATAAGGCTAATTTTTTTTTTTTGGTTTAGCATATAGTGGATCATTTTTATGGAGCTTCATGAAAATCTGAGACAATCATACAGGAATTTTTTTTTTTTAATCTGGT